TTGATTTTTTTGAAACCTAAGACGCAACTCATACCAAGTAGTCATATTCTAAACATGATCTATGCTTGTCTCATGCTCTTTAACTCTAAAGCCTACATGCCCCCAATCTGAAAATCCTTCATTTGTCAATTGTCCTCTACCCATCCCTTTTTAAAATATTTTACAGCAAAAACAATAGACTCTATCAAGCTCTTTTGAATAAACAAGTCAATCCCTATCACATTTTTCACCGTTTGATAAAACTCTAGTATACAAGTTAGCCGTAAGTCGTCTTGAAGATTTATCTTTAGGACCTTTCACAATAGAATTATCTCTTTTAGGACCATTTTTCACTAATAAAACAATCATTTTAGAATCAAGACTATCCCAAACTCTAGGATCATATATATTAGGCATATAACTAGTTTCACACTGATCAACATTGTCACAAGGCATATCATCAATATTTTCAGCATTATTATCATTCTCTATAGGCACATCATCAACATTGCAATTAGCACTAGGCACATTATCAAAAATATCATCCACATCATCAACATTCTCCGCAATAGGCATATCACTAACAAGATCAACATTAACATTATTAATATCATCAACATTATTATTCTCAATAGGGACATCATCAACGGGCTCAGCAAGAGGAACGTGAGGTTTTTTTATAACGAATTTATCAAGAGCACCTTTTTGAGAATTAATTAACACTTCTAATTTTCTCTTTTTATTACGCTTTTCAAACCCAAATTCATACTTTCTAGGAGGCATAATCTAAAAATAATAAAAAATAATAATAAAAAAAAAAAAATAAAGTATCATATACATGGATTGAAAAAACCTGGAAAGCATAAGGTTTGTTTCAATCAATTGGACGAATTGGCGAATTACTCAATCTCGTTGATTCTCAATCTTTGTTCAGAAGAATATGATCAATTTCGACCTTCAAAAAATGAAATTGCTTAGATACAGAAGAGTATAAACAAATCAATTTGTGTTAAAATAAAAAATTAATAACTGATTCAATTGACTCAAAACCAGAAATTTTTTTTAAAAAAAATGAATAAAAACGCTTTAATTGAAACTATCAAAACCAGAAATAATTAACAAAAAAAAAATGAAATAAAACGTTTCAATTGAAACTATCAAAACCTGAAATACTTAACAAAAAAATGAAATAAACGCTTCAATTGAAACTATCAAAACCAGAAATAATTAACAAAAAAAAAAAAAAAAAAAAAAAAAAACGCTTCAATTGAAACTATCAAAACCAGAAATAATTAACAAAAAAAAAAAAAAAATTTACCTAAAATCGATTGCTTCAATTTGTTCCCTTCAAAAAGAGAAAAAAATGCTTCAAACCTTCAATTCGTTTTTTATTTTGTATAATTGTATCAATTGGGAATAGATAGATGAAAATGATTGAATTGAAGGTGGCCTATATATATGGGAAAATAATAACCGTTTGATAAAAACCATATTTAGTAGATTGGGTGGTCAATCGAGAGGCATGCAAATGAAGAATTCTAAGGGTGTCTTCAAAAGATTAAGAGTGGCAAACAAACCCATCAACAATCGCCTACAAAATATGCAAGTCTAGAAGCATAGGAGAAATGTCTTCAAGCGGCTAGAGAACACGAGCCATCTCTAAATCACGACACTAGTAGAAAAGGAACATGAAGAAATTTGGGTTAGAGAATGATGTCAGGAGCATTATCCCATCTCACATGAAGCGCCTCCATCTAAATAAACACTGCCAATAATTTGATGTCATTAATGAGTGGGAGGTGACCTGGTATTTATAGAGCTACAAGTTAACTTGTCTCCAAGAAGATGATTTAGAAGCTTAGCCGACTAATTTATCTCTAGCCAATCAAATGGGAGATGTAGTCAGGATAATACACTTCTATTTCATGAGATAAGATTCTATCTTTTCTTTTTATTCAATAAAGCTCAAATATCACGCTTAGCTCGCTTATCATAGTATTTATCTTCAATCGAGGTAAATAAAGTGGGCAAGTTGACTTGATTTACCGTAAAATGATAGATTTTGGTGGTTCACAAAATATATATCTCAATTAAAAGATATATTCGTCTTTCGTATTATTATATCGGCAATGAATGGAGTTGACAATCACAGCAAATCCAAGATATTTTTTAAAGTATTTTTTAAAGTGAATCTCATGTTAATTATCCACAAGAAAGGATAGAATTCAAGAAGATAGACTGTATAGCGTGGATGCATGGGAATATATATATATATATATATAAAAAAAAATAAGAGAGAGAGAGAGAAAAAAGAAAAAGAAAAAAAAAAGGGTCTGTAGACACGGAAATTTTATGAGTGTCAGTTTGGGTTTAAATCATATGAATAATCCATTTTAATTATTTATGGCCCACCCAAATAAATAGTCCGAATTAATCAAATACAATTCGGATTATAAAATAAATTAAATGGACCAGCTTAAAAGACTTTTAAGTCATAAAATGGGCCAGGCCCCAAACCTACTAAGTCCACTCAAGGGGTTCTCATCTCCTATAAATATACTATTCCTCCATCAATTGAGGGATTTAGAAATCATTATTCCAAGAGCTCATAAAACTCAAATGGAATTCTCTCTAAAGTAAGTCAACAAGCACATCAAACTCGTGTCGACTTGTTCAGATACACTCAAACACATTTGAACGGGACTAAGCTTCAAAGCCCTCGTTCAGGTGTATTCAAACAAAACCCTTAAATACAGGTTGACATCATCAAACGTCACCCTGCATTCAAACTCAAGTCTACGTCATCAAACGTTAACCTACAGGTGTCACACACGTGTCATCGTCAAGCTACGGAACAGAATCAGAGGACTTAGTTTATTTTATTATAAACTTTTATACAAAGATTGTACCCAAAAATCACATATTAATATAAATTTATTTGTTACTTTATTTCCCGTCTTTATTTATTTAGACTCGAAAATTGTGTAAACAGGGTCACTCGATAATTATTATCGGGTCAACCAAATTTCGAGCCCGATCACGATCAAACACTTCAAAATTATGTCCGTGACCAATCTCGAGGGGGCAATTTGTAGACACAGAAATTTTATCAAGTGTCGTTATGAATTATTTGGGTCAAAGTCAAACGGTTGACTCATATATATTGACTAAATAATTAACTTGGGTTAAATTAGCCCGTATTATTTATTTTAGTTAGACTCATTTAACTAATAATAGAGTCCAACAAAATGGATTTGATTTAATTAAATGGGTCATTTATGAAATGAGGTGGAAATGGATATGAGGCTCATTTAGTGGTCATCTTGAATCCCTAGTTTGGGAGAACTCTATAAATAGAAAATCCTCTCTACCAAAAAAACCTCTCTATACTAAAACACCCTCTCTAAACCTCTCTAAAAACATTTCAAACCTAGAAAAACAACAAGCACCGGATTAGGCGTGTCGTTCCATTCTAGAAGACAAACCTTGATTGGGATCAAGCCTTTTCGGCCCTCTATCAAGAAGTTCAAGTTAGAGTTTCGACAACAACAAATCGAGTCATCAAACGACATAGCGTGGAGATCGAATCAGTGCATTATGCATTATATGAGAGATTGTACTCAAATAATTGTTATATTAATAAAATTACATCGTTGCATATTAGAGATTGTACTCAAAAAATTGTTATATTAATAAAATTACATTGTTGCATTTATTTTGAATCTTTATTTTTGCACACTCAAAATTTGTGTTTACAATAATCTATTTAAATTTACTTCATTTTTTTTTTTAAAGTGTTATACTTAGACCGGCATATATTTTTAGCAATTTAGTTGACTTAAATATAACAAGAGGTAAGTGGGGTAGTTGGAGTATTAAAAAAATTGTAAATGTAGTTTTTCACCATTAAAGGAGGTGCGACACTTATATGAAAACGGTCGCATTTGATAGTGTAACACTTTAAAAAAAAGAGGGAGTACTTGAGTTAGCAATTTGTAACTTTAACTCCTACAACATGAGCTCCCCTCTATTCACCCCCCCCCCCCCCAAAACACACACACTGCTCACTAGTTTGATTGAATACTATCAAGTAGACAAAAAGATTAAAAAAACATAGAGAGAGCAGGTTTTCAAGAAAGCAATCATGGACTGTAGAAACCTGGAACTATACTTTTAGATATTGAGGGTTTTTTTTTTTTTTTATTTATTAATTTATTTATTTTTTTTACTTTTTGGCCTTTGTATGTGTCATTATGGTGCTTGTATTTTGATTTTGGTGTCTAAGAGGAATTGATAGGGAGGTCTATTAACATCATGATGGGTTATGAGGCGGATGATCAATTTGAGATGGCGATGTGAAGTATGAATTAGGAACTTATGGGGGAAGATGGCTTTTGAATTTCAAGAGGATTGGTGTATTTTGTTTTTACTCTTTATTTTTTCTACCTTTTTCTTCTAGTTTCATACCTAGTGGTAGAAGGATAAATGTACTCCCAAGAAGTTGTGGAGTCAAGTATTGGCAGTATTCCTTTTAACTGCTAAGTTATTGGACACTGAAATTTTCTTTCAAATACCTTTGAAATGGAACCATATATTAATAATATAAGGAAAACCTTTTAGGATCACTCCTGATGTGCATTTCATGGGAATGACTTCTGCAGATTCATTATTTTTATTATTTTATTTATTTATTTTTTGAAAGCTTAACTTGAATGTTCTGGTTTCTTCATTTTTCTGAGTTATTGCAAATTTTGGAGGCTATATTAATTGATAAGATGTGTCATTTAGCTTACATATTGTTGTGATCATTAAGATTCCTCAACTCCATGTCATCATCCAACTCACATACAAGTATACAATTTGCTCAAGGGATTATTTAGTAATAATGTTTTATTTGTCCCTTTTAGCAGTTGTTGATAATTTGACATTGATTATTAATATTATTTTTTTAATATTCTTTCCAGCTAATGTTTCAGTGATCTTATAATTTCCTAAGTCAACATCTCTGCTATTGGTTATAGGCATGGATATCATTAATCGGTGACAAATTGGATGCTACATTGACGAAGTCTGTGACTGGGGATGCACTAATGACTCCAGATAAAGGTCGATAATGATAATGTGTATTCTCATTGTGGCGCAGTAATTTGCACGGATGCTAGTTACTGAAGCCTATAGGCAAGGTATTTTTTCTTTTTTCCACTGCTCAAATAAGCAGGCCACTGGAATAGATAGCCCGCAAACATTGAGATGATATTGAGCAGACAATGCTGTGAACCTTCCCTTTTTTTTTTTTTTTTTTTTCCTTTTTTGTCTTTTTTTGCCGACTATTAATGTGCAATAAGAAAAAATAACAGAAAGGAAAATGTCATTGTTATGTAGCTTCTGATTTGAGTAAGATGAATTTTAGGATGTTGTAGAGTTTTTTATATGGTCTGGATTGGTTTTTGACAAGCAGGGAAGTGATTACTGTCTGCCTTTTCAGTGGATTAAGTTTAATTACCTTATCTGAGTTATTTAACAAATCGTTTAAAAAGCTATACTGAGTGCCCTTAGTCGTTTTTGCTTACTAAGCTCAAAGTTTCTGTTAAAACTTAAAAGTCTAATAATTAATTGACCATGATGGTAACTTTAGCTTCTTCCAGAAATGGAAATACCTCAACTTTATATTTTATAATGTCAAAAATGAGTCAGTAATCAAATAACTTTTTTTGGCAGATTCTGGTCCCAATGTCTCATAAGTGTCGCAGGGAACATCAGTATCCCGTCTCAGATAATACGTCGAAGGAGAAGTATATAGTTCATTCAATTTTCTTTGTACATTACCATCAACTGTGAGTTTCCGAATCTTGTGTCCATGGGCTTCCACACTGGTTGATTTCTCAATTAGTTTAAAATAGATTAACAGAATACACAGCCGCTGATACATTTTCCAAGAAGTGCAAATTATCTATTTTCTGTTTATTCCCTTGATGTTTGCAATGATTTATTCAGTACTTAATGTTAAACTTGATTTTGCCCCCAGATATATTATCAGATAGAAATTACTCTGTAAAATTTGGGGAAGTGAGCTCTCCATGTCTAATATCTGTTTCAGAAAGCAGTTTTCTTCATGCACACTTGTAGTTGCTGTACAAAATTACAATTCACAAAGCACTGTTTGAGCCATTGAATTCAGGACTGCAACTGACATTCAGTAGTTTGAACAAAATGCTCAAACAATGCACTGTTTGTAAAGTTGACTTGGTTCAGAAGATTACTACCAAGTATGTGATTATTCTTTGGATTCAAAAAGCTCTGCACTGTATTACAAATTAATCCAGTAAATCTTCCAGAAGATTACATACATCAGCAGATGAGGAAGAAAAACAGAAAAATATTTTTTTCAAATAAGAGGTACTTAATACCTCTCTAATATGCCTAGGTAAAAATTGTAACTAATCTATGGCTTCTCTACAAAACATGCACAAGAAATAGGTTCAATAAATAAGGGAGAAAAAAGAATTAGTGTGTCGTTTTATGTTTTACAAATGTAGATGAACTGCAGGCATCTCGACCTTGGTCATTGAACAGACTTCTGCCATGGGAGCAACCCTGTATTCCGATCAGCCAGGTTAGACAGAACAAAGTCCCTTAACCTGGTATCCCAAACCTCACAGAACTTCTGGGGCCAATTGGGCGGTTCAATAGCTTCTGTCCCCAATCCAGGTGCCCTATCTCTTGAATTTTCATTCTGATTCTCTTGCCAGTCAACAACATAGGTTGAAACCCTTCTATAAAATTTTGCTTTAAAGTTGTCCCAGACTTGGTACTTGTAGTGGTTTATCACAGCCCGATGAAAATTTAGCTTCTTGAACTCCTTTTTCAGCTTGAAATGATGAACTTGATTCAGAAGACTATCATCAACAGCATCAGGCCTAACAATTGACTTATGCCTCTCAAGGCCCTTAAGCCGGCAAGTATACCCTAACATCAGTCCCTCTGCCGGAGTTTTCTTTAGCCCTGAGGGTCCAAAATTATGACAATCTGTTCTGATTTCACCTACTGTTCGCTGTCGTGCTGAAACATGCTCCACTACTTTTTGAAGAGCGTTTGGTCCCCGGTAAACAATGGTTGAGTTTTGCCTGGGTTTTGGAGGTGGGAAATTGTAAAACTCATCCACATCAAAGAATGCAACCCATTGACACTGATCTCTGGCCCTCAACAAACAGTGTGAAAACCCTGCCTCCTGAGACTTAATCCATGGCCAAGTGTGCCTATTCACATCATAATTTTCAGCATTCAGCTCATCGATCACATCCTTTAAGCCGTCATCGCTATTATTGTCATAAACAAACCACCTCTCAACCCCAAGCCAAGTATGGTACATTACCCACTCCCTAATAAATGCAGCTTGATTCCAAACCATAGTACAAGCACAGAGCTTATATTTAAGTTTAGACCTACCCTTCACATTATTCTTATTACTGCTCTGATGCAATTTTGCTATTGATGGTACTAGTTGTCGTTTCGTACCTGTCAAATGGGACCTTCCAGGCACTTTGGAAGTCACCTCGACTGTAACTCGAACTTCTTCGCCATCCCACGGTTTCACCTTCAATTCTGGAGGCAAGGGACACCTGATTGTCTCCTGTGCTGCAGTGGTAGCCTGTGTGGTAAGCGCATAATCCTCACCCTCCTTCCAAAATTGACATCTAAATGGAGTTGGTTCCGATTCTCTGTCTGGCTTGAGCTGCAAACCCTTAACAAAAACAACAGCCATATCCTCCCCATCGAATACCGCCTCGTAAGCCACCATATCCCACAATTGAACACTCTTCTTACCCCCCCTCCCCATCTCCCACTCAATTCCTTTCCCATTCTTCCATTCCCCCTTCAACCCGACAGCCGCCGTGTAATTCGCAGGCGGTACCGGGCACCGAACCAACCACCTTCCATCCCCATAATCATCCACTGACAACATGGGATGATTGACAGTTTTCTTTCCAACACTAACACCCGATTTCCGGGGGTAAACACAGTCAATTTTCTCAGGAAGTTGCAGATGTAAGGATTTACTCTGACTAGCAGGTAAAATTACCAACACATGATCATTAAACAATACTCTGCTCTCAATGCTCAACCCCATGAACAAACCATCACCTTCACTACTCTTGTTACTATTACTAATAATCTTAATCTTACTAGTATTACTTTTACTCTCACTGCTACCAATCTCAACTTTTCTCTGGGTAGAAAGATCCTGCACTGAGTTACTACTGATTGAAGATGAAGAAATTATGGCTAGTTTCGGGACGATCGGCGCAGGCCGAAACGTCCCGGATCCAAAATTATAACCCCGAGTAATAAAAACAAGAAACAAGAAGCAACAAAAACACACCATTATATACCTTGTTGAGAAATTCTGTGTTAAAGATAATGGTGTTTTAAGTATCCGTTTTCTCTTCCTAACATCCATTTTTTTGGTTAGTTCAATTAGTGTAAAATTCTTTCAAAGAACACACAATTTAAGAAGTGAGACAAAAGAAGAAGATCTGAAGATTAATGGTGAAAGAAAAAAAAAAAAAAAAAAAAAAAAAAAAGGTTTATGTGGATCTGGGTATATTGGACCGACAGTGGGTCGGGTGAGTTTCGTTGTGTTTTGTGTCGGAGAGAGGAGAGAGAAAAACACGCGTTTAAGGCTGCGGGTTTAGCCTAATTATAGGAGGCGACTTCGAAACTGCTACTCAGTAAAAAGACTGAGTTTGTGTTCTGGGTTTTTCTGGTGGCGGAATTGGTACATAAACGGGAATCATTGGTGGTCCAATGTAATATGTTGGCTACTATTCTTTGAGAGTTTGATTAGTGAGTAAAGTTGTTTGATTGAGAGAATTTTATTTGGTTAAGCTTTATGTTTAGCATGGGAAAAACATCGTGGCCTCGTGGTTTTGAGGATTTAAAACCCGATTTTATTTTATTTATATTAAAAAAAAATATTTTAATAAGTGCATTTATTACCAAGTCCTGATAATTTTAATGATATGGTAATGGATTAATATTTAATTTTTTGGGGTTTACTAGTTGGTATTATAAAATTGATGGTGACTTGTAATATTCTTTTAAGGGGTAAGTTGATTTGTTAAGAGAAATGATTAAAATTGGGTTTTGGGTATGAACAAGTTCATGTGATGAGCAAGGTATTAGTTGTGTTGTTTCTTATGCTTATGTCATGTAGATATTATGGTGTGAGTCAAGGGTATTTTTATATAATTTATTGCCTTCTTGCATTTTTCGTGGAAAACTATTTTACAAGTTTTTTCATAGGTGGTTTGGTAATTTGAAAGTTTCTTTGTGGGTTTACTTATACAAGGTTTTACATTTCAAGTCTTAAAGACTTTTTTTTTTACAGGGATTCTTCGTTGTTGTTTTTTTTTTTTTTTTTTTTTTTTTTTTTGTGACGGGAGGGATTCTCTTACTTTGTCGTAATAAAATATTTTGATGCTAGTATGGTACATTAGTGGTGATCTTGTCAATATCTTCTATTCTTCCACCATGATTGATGAACCCAAAAGTTTGTCTATTTTGTTTCATCTTTACTAATTTATGGAGCATATGCTTTCAAGCATTTATTGTATACCTAGGTGCACTACTCGAAATGACACATGGAAAATGTGTTGCTGGAAAGAAAATCAACAATGTATTATTTGCTTGTTAATGAAAGAATATGATTAATTATATCTAGTAGTGTTCTATATATCAATTTGTGAAATGATATATATGTTTAAGTTGCAATTAAACATTTTAATTTTTGCGGAGCAAAAGTAAGAGAGTTCAGCATAACAAATAGAAGTATTCTCAATTAAGCCTAAGATTCCGATGAGCACAAAAGTGTATGTATTTATCAATTTGAATATCTTGTGTACGTAATTAGTTATCCAAGTACGTCAAGGTATAATCTTAGATGAAATAAGTGTAGACTTAAGAAACACAACCAAAAATTTGTTTTGATGGGTTGCATCACTTGCATGCTATGTTGGTTTTAATTTTTTTAGACACAATGTACAACCCAATGGGATTGGTCATAATTTTGATTTCAGCAAGCACAACATGTGCACACTTTTTTTTTTTCCATTGTGCGGTGCCATACCCAAATCACGATGATTCTAATACAATTATGAATTGAAATCGATAATTTTTTTTTAAGTTAATTTTAATCTAAATTATTTTATATAGATATTTCTATTTTAAAAATTAAAAAAAAAATCGCTTCTCCCTCCACGGAAAATTCAATTACTAATAAATGGCGTTAAGAAGTTATTGGCGCTTTTAAGGTTCTTTTCCCCACCTTATGTATACTTGTATAGTGTATTTGGAAGCCAAGTAATTAGCGGATTATACCTTTTTTTTTTTTGAATAGTAGCGGATTATACCTTTATATTAAAAATTATCTAAACATTGATCCAATATAGAATTTTTTTTTTTTAAAAAAAAACTTAATTAAATTCTTTACATATATTAGGGTACAATTTTTTTTAGGGACTTACATAACTTTTCATCCGTATATCTTTCCTTTAAAAATCTAAAATTCAGCTCAACTATGGAAGAATGAATGAAGTGGTAGGGAAAAAAAACAATTTTCGAATAACGAACGAAAGTGGTCATTTTCTCCTAAACTACTAGTCTTACTATAAAATTGTACTAGAGCTTCTGTCGTATTCAACCTATTGGCTTTATTTTATTGGATTATTACGAGTATTTATTTATTTATTTTAAGAAAATAACCTACTGGCTATCATAGCCTTTTAAAAAGTCTAAAATTTACATGTAATTAAAAAAAAAAAAAAAAAAAAAAAGGTATCGTGCTTGTCACTAATCCGTTAAAACATCCCTATCACTTTACCAGGAATCCCCGCAAATTGTACACTTTTATATTAGCAAATTTACACTCTACTAGATATAGATAAAAAGGAAAAAAAAAAAAAAAAAAAAAAAAAAAAATACACTATAACTATTTTGTAATACCATATCAATGTCAAAAATAATCCAGAGAATAATAATACAAATTGCAATAAACAATTAAACGACAATAATTATTGTAGCTTCTCGTCGTTTAGAGATAGGATATGAATCATATGATGTAATATTGGCAACCACTGCCTAATCTTGTCCGATTTAAAAACCAACAATCATTTTCAACCGTTTGATTAGATTAAAATTCAAAATTGACCTCCCCATGAGTTGGAACTTATAGGTGGAATAATAAAATTATTTGTCCCATGTGATTATATTATTAATATTAATATTATTTAGGCCGCCTTAGTTTTGTAGGATTCTGATTAGCTAAAAGGAAAGAGGTGTTATTGTCACCTTTAAACATACAACAATGTTAAAAGTAGAAGCAACGTATATTAGTTGGTCTTACTATTAAAACATTCATGTAGGTAGTTGAGGTACTACGTACTATATATATGCTAATGCATTTGCATGCATGATTTTACAAGTTTGAAGATTGTTCTTTTTATCATTTATGATGACTAAGGACTAAGAACATGTCACTCCCCACCTGGCTGATCGAATTTATTGATTACTTACTCTGTTTCATAATACATGACACGGTTAAATATTGTGCACACATGTCAATGCGCTAGTTTGACTTTATTTTTATATAATTTAATATTAATGAAAATTATTTTAAAAATTATATTATGAAAATTTATATTAAAACCTATCTAACAGCATATTTTGTAATAAGATATATTTATATTATACAAGTAAAAAATTATGGTAAAACCTAATGCATAAATAGTGAAAAAAAGTCTAACGTCACATGAAAGGGGGTATAAAAAAATTATTTTTACTAATCAAGATGATTTATACTGTACTACAAAAACATGAGTTCTAGTTTAATATTAAAATAATTGTTTTAGAAAAAGGTTTTTTTTTTTTTAAGGGTTGTTTTAGAAAAAGTTAAAGCTTGTAGGAATTTTTTTTGGCTAGCTACTTATGACTAATTTTGGTCCAGACTAATTTTTGGTTAGTCGGTAAATTACATTGGTTGATTGTTGGTTGCAAATTTGCGATTTGTTTTGCAATTGTTAATATTGATTTAATTTTGTGGTATGCAATCTAGAGTATATTTTTCAATTATAATGGCTGATCTTATCAAAATTGTTATTTTTTTAATTGGCTCGAAATTGGTTTTTAATGATTAATATTTTTGTAATTAAATGAAATGAGATGAAATAAACACACCTTTAACTCATAAAAAAATAAAAAAAAATTAAAATGCAAAAATACATAGACCAAAAGAGAGTAAAACTCCATCCATTTCATACAGTTCTTTTCTTTGGCTTATATCTTAATGTCAAGTTTCATTGACTTTTGGAATGTCTTTTTAATTCTTATGTTTTACTAAAAGAAATAAATAAATTGACATGGAGTTTATTTTTTATTTTTTTGGAAAGTAATTTTAAATACAAGTATGAGTTTCTTTTTTTTGAGCAAAAGTATGAGTTTCTTGATAATTGGGCATTATACATTGCACGTCTTCTAGCCACCAATATGATTGATTTTTTGATAGTGGGAATAATATAGTAAAAATTTAAAAGAGCAAAACTTAAGGAAAATAATTTGGAATGTATTGTACTCAGTATTATAATACTCCGTAGTATAGACCACTTACATATTTAAATTATAATGATGAAATCATTGGTCAATGATATTGATGTTATAATAAACTCTTTTTTTTTCTTTTTTTTTCCCCTTTCTTGATTTTAAAGTTTTACATTTAGCAATTTTTGTCATCGTTTCACTACACCACATTGTAGAAGACTACCAGCCTAGCAATTTGAGTAAATATTACAAATGCCCAACAAGTATAGTAGGACATGTTATTATGTTAATACATGTAATACTTTGATAAAACTGGCATTGCATGAAAGAGGCATCACGATCCTTGAATAATGACATTGAATTATTAATAAATTCAATAATAATTGAGGCATAAGTCAACATTACCAAAAGGTCCAAAACACATAGATGAAGGAAGTTTCCAACTACACGTGCTTTCATGGGTTTCATCTACCTTTCATACTCTTCTATGTTGAAATTTGGACAAATTGCGTAAAAATTGAGAGTTATATTGATCAAGTTAACCAAAGTTTCATTTATAATTTTCAAAATGATATACACATTTTAAGGGCTTGTTTCATTCAATTATATTGTATAAACTTTTCTAAATACGCGTATATTATCTATGAACTTATATTTTGGCTGAACTAAATAATAGTATTACGTAGTAAAATTTAGGGTGATGCTATATGCAGCCCTTAGGACTGCATATAAACATTTAATATACTTCTTTTATTAGTATTAAGTTGGGAATTTATCGGCAATTCACGAATAAATCGGTGTAATAAATGTTTATTTATTGTTTATTCTTTTCATTTTTAGCTTCTTATATGCAACCCTTAGGGATGCAAATATCTTTTTCCGTTTATTAGAAATAATTTAAGCTTATTTTTTACAATAGTAAAAATTGATTGACATTATTTGATATATATATATATATATATATATATATATAATATATATATATATATATATATATATATATATATATATATATATATATATAGGGTCAAATAAGAAGGGGCTTAAAATGAGAAGGATGAGAAGAAATCTCATACGTTCAATATTACATGTCTGTATACATAACGAATTAAAATAAAATACGGTGTAGAAAATGTTACTCAATACCAAACCAAATAAAATATATATCAATAATTTATGCTAATTTAATTTATGTGTGATTTTGTTGTACACTACTAAATTAAACCAAATTAAATTATGTATTAAATGTTTACCTAAGAGCCATGCGCCTATTAATTATGTGAAGTATTCAATTTGATTATCAACGATGAAGTTGCGATTGTGGGGATTTGATGCACGTAGCAATGTAT